GCTAAGAGCAAGTATTGGAAAGTGAAGCGAATCAAGATACATTTATTTCAGGGTACTATAAATCTCTTGTACTTTCAGTTTCCGTTTACAGGCGGTTTCAGAGAAATTACACACATCAGTTCCAACAATCAAGCATATACAGCATCATTTGAGTTGTTTTGAATGAGGACACCATGTAAAATAAAGAACTCTGCAAATGCAGCACTTTAAACTATATATGATTTTTTTCTTCATATCAACTAGGAATTACATATTTCAGAATATTAGAGCAGAAGTTAGCTACAAAATAATGTCCCATCACGTTAATTATATATTGACAAGAGTATGAATTATTTTCTCTACTCTAAAATAACTTTGGAATTTTTTTTAAAAAGTAATATACAAAGCGTCTTTTGCTACATAATGGAATTTCTTTGGAAGGTCTTGACGACTTTCTTTATTTTATATGAGGTTCAGGGGCCCCCTTGTGGCTAATCGAGATATTTGCAGAAACTATATCTAATGAGTTTCAGGCTGAACGGCATAGACACAGGACCTTTAGTTGAATCTAGGTTTATGTCACTTCCACTTTCTGAGACTTTCAGCGTTTTATAATCAGCACGATCCAAAAATAAGTCTAAAGGGAACAGAATATATTACAGTGAATTTAAAATTCTTCAGCATACATAAACAAAATGAAACATGATTTTACTCTTTGAAAGAAAAGATTGAAAGCATCAATTCACAGTGTATAGATTCATGTATCATCTACTAATGGCACCAGATTTAAAGCATAGCAAGCAGCTTCCAGGGAAGCCACTTCATCTTCATGATTGTCCTAGCTTCTCTTCATTTACTAAAAGTCTCAATCTGGGGCCAGCCAGCGGCATGATGGTTAAGGCAGCTGGATTCCACATAGCCAATGATGCAGTTCGAGTCTCAGACCCAGTAGTTTGAAAAACGCATTCGGTGCTTGTTTATGCAAACCCAAACTCCCAACCGAAGGGAGAAATGAAGGGACTATGGCATGACTATGACCCATGGGAGAGGTGCCTTCTCACTTTCCCTCTTTCTCTCAGATGCACATGCCCTCGGGCAAAATAAATAAATAAATAAATAAGCCTAATTCTGGTGCCACTGATAGCAGAAGGACTGGGTCAAGCGTCCTTCTTCTCATTCAATAAAATCCCCTACCCAGGCTTGCACCCCGGATCTGCTTCAGCTTGTGACCAAGCTAAATCATCTCCAAAGCTAATTCTGGTGCCACTGATAGCAGAAGGACTGGGTCAAGCGTCCTTCTTCTCATTCAATAAAATCCCCTTCCCAGGCTTGTACCCGAGTCTGCTTCAGCTTGTGACCAAGCTAAATCCTCTCCAAAGACAGCTCCAAACCAAGAGGAAACCCTTGGTGTTCTGCACAGCACAGGGCCTACTCTCTTTCTGTTTCTCACCTGTGTTACTCTTGATTCAGTGCTAACCATGAAAACCCAAAATGAACATTGAGACAGTGCGTTGGACAGAAAGCAAAATATGGTAGGGAATGCCTCTCAACATCCATGGGCAAAAACATGACAAGGTACCCACCAACCATACAGACTCCTCAGCTCTGTAGCCAAAGATTCTGATGCAAAGGGCTAAGGGTTCTGTGAAACTGCATGTTAGCACATATTAGGGGTTTTCTGGGTCTGCTTGGGTAGGAACAACTTAGCCTTCCTGAGTCATTACAACGAGGAGAGTACACACCAGGCATCTCGCCACACAGAGGCAAAGAGATATTTTAGTACATTGTAGTAGGGTGACCTTTAGTGTTCTGACAGCTCAGAGTGAAGCAGAGCTGTCTATAAAGGGGTCCTCACCCAGTCTACACTGCAAAGAGGCCCCAAAGTCCTATTTCCTTGGAAACATTATTGTTGGAATGCACACGTAATGAAGCCCTGAGCCTGAGTTATACATCGAGAATCCTTTTCTGAGTCAGCGACTTAGATACTCCCAGAGGAGAAAAAAATAAAAAAAAGAATATCTCTTGTTTACTGATAGGATTTCAAACAGCCAAGTTTCTCACAGTCTGAGCTTTTGGAGGACGACCTTTCTCAGAGCGTAGGAAAGCAGGAGTCAGACGAAGGGGGTACTCTACAGTTTCTGTGTGTTCTGGGGGTGGGGCGGGTACTGCTTCCTGTGAACTTTGCTGTTGGCTTTTGTCTGTGTCTGTTATTCCAACACATTTTCACAGTCTGAACTGATTTTATTTACCTTGCCAGACACGGCATCTGCCTTCAGGAGACTGCTTCCAGAAGAGAGAGAGAACAGGCAAAGGGTCCTGATGACGTTATCAGTGTGTGGATGCCCTTCATTAATTCAGCAAAGACTTACTGAGTGCCTGCTGTGTGCTGGACCCTGTGCAGGCTACTGGAAAGATACCTGTGGATAAGGCTCTAGTCCCTGCCCTCAAGAAACGTACAGTTAAGTGTGGTAGTTAAGGCAGTTGGATGCCCACATGCTTGACTGCGTTTCGAGTCCCAGACCTGAACTCTTGCTTTCTCACTTTTCTTCTCTCTCCCTCTCTTTCTCCTCTCTGTCTCTCTCTGGTCAACTACAGAAAAAAAAAAGAAAAGAAAAGAAAAGAAAAGAAAAAGAAAAAGAAAAAAATGACAATGAATAAAATTAAACAAAATAATTTTTTTTAGAGGTTTTTGCTATAGGGCACATGCACTCGCCAGACAGAGAGAGAGAGAGAAACAGAGACAGAAAGTGAGAAATCACCTCCCATGGGGGATGACCACGCTGCAGTCCCTTCTCCATTCTCCTCTCGGGATCTTGGGCACACACGCACACGTACCCGGCATGAGTTTAAGCCACCCGGTCTGGGACGCAAACCGTGGTCAACTATGTGGGAGTCCAGCGACATAGCCATTACGGTAACTCCTGGTCCCAATAATTTTTTAAAAAAAGAAAGAAACATACAAGCCGATTGGAGAAAAATACAGAAAACAATTACAACAGTGCACAGAAGTACTATTATAGGACGATTAATCCAAGAACTGAAAAAAAAATCATTATCCAGTATGGCAAAGAGAAGACTGGCCCAGGGTTAGGGAAGAGGGTCGGCTGGGGCAGAGAGGGAAATAGAAGAAAAAGAACTTTGCAAACAGAATCATCTACCCCTGATTGCCTCACTGTGGCAGTTTTCTCATTTGTAAGGTAAGAATAACAGAACTGAGAAGTATCTCCTGAGTGCCATGCAGTTGCACGCCATAGGACTACACCAATAAACAAAAGAGACAAGTAATCTTACCTTTCATCACATCCATTAACGTGGATGTTTATATGCAAAAATATAAATAATAGCCACAATACATGAGTACACCATCTACTATTATTAGGTAATAAATGCAGAATGGGGTGGGGAGGTGCCAGTGGAAGACACCTGAGAGAGCAGGTGCATTGAGGATTAAATGATGTGACATCTGTCAAAACCCATAGATCTCACAGGAGCGCGCTGATCGAGTTAGATCACCAAAGCGATGCTTGGCTAAGAAGTCCCCAGCCTCCATCAGCCGTGAGTTTGACCTCACTCAGTATTTGCTTCTTTTCCTGAATGACTGCCGTTCTAACCTCAGGGAGCCCAGCTCTGTACCTGAGATAATTATGGTCCTTTCCATAGCAGCCTTTCCTCTTCAGTGCAATCATTTCTGGGTGATCAGACAGCACTGACATTCTTGCAAACGCTCATAGCAGTGGGGACCTTGAAGCCAAGACCTTCTCTTGCTTATGATGTTCTAAATTGCTCTTAGCTTACTCTGCCTCTTTTCATTTTCTACTTCAAGCTAAAGGGTAGCAGAAGCAGTGTTTTTCAACACTGTCCCTTTTGCCAGCTACTCCCTCACGCCGGGCGCGTGTGCGTGCGTGCCCAAGGTCCCGAGAGGACAATGGAGGAGAAGGGATTGTGGTGTGACCATCCCCCCTGGGGGGTGATTTCTCGCTTTCTGTCTCTCTGTCTCTCTCTGTCTTTCTGGTGAGCGCACACGCCCCATAGCAAAAAGAAAAAAAAAATATCTCCCCCTCCCAAAAAAAAAAAAAACAGATTTCCTGTAAAGTGAATTTTTTAGTTTTTGTTATAAGGCATGTGCTTGTCAGAGAGAGACCGGGAGTAGAGGTGGGAATCAGTCCCCATGGGAATGCCATGTCATAATCTCTTCTCTTGGGACTTTGGGCATGCATGCACACACATCTGGCCTGTTTTTCAAGCTACTGGGTCTAGGATCCAAATTGTTCAGTCACTCACGTGAGATCTAGCCACCGACACCTACTGGTCCCCAGGTGTTAGCGGACTTTTTTAAAGCAGGTTGTTTTCCTAAGTAGTGAAATAGGCCCTGAATTCTTTCACTGATACTTTATTTTCTTTTCACTGTGTCATTTTACTAATAATAAAATGACATTTTCCCTATTCCAAGCTAAATTTTTAGAAAAGAAAAACCTGTGGGAGTCAATGACTGAAGTGGTGCTCTATTTTTAACTTATTTCCATCTTGCCTTGTCTTTTCTTTTTTTAAGCAACTTGCTATCACCAGCATCAATCTCTTACTGCAATTAATGTTGAACTATTTATTGCCTGTGGGCTCTGTCCTAGGTAGATAGCCATCTGATTTGAACCGGTTGGCAGAGTCAAGAACAGCTAGTTAACTTTATGTAGATAACAATAAAAAAAGGTGATTCTGCACGTCATGTATTTTCTTTGCACTTCGAAAGCAACCTCAGCT